ATTGTTTGTCAATATATTCAGTTTCAACTTTTTATTCATAAACAATATAATTTAGTAAAATAAAATATGATTATAAGTAATAAAAATTTAATTATGATAAACCAAAGCCCTGTCACCATGATATTTGATCATTGCGTGTCAAACCCAATCATATGTTTCCATAAAGTCCTAAATTGATGCTTCTCACCAAAAGCATATGCTTTCCAGTGAAATAAATCAAAAGATGAAAAGTTAAACAGATAAAGCATATGTATCACCTTCCCATCGCCTAGAGGAGACACCCTGTTCCCAACAAGTATACACCCCGCATGTGTGGTTGTACCCAGTGAAATTGAAACTTTTCGTGAAATCACCAAAACGCTTCGATAATAAGTGGAATTATTTTAACTCAAACGTTTAATCAACATCGATTATCAGCTGTTTTGTATCGAAAACGTGCAGATTTGAAACAAAGTAAGAATTTCGTTATACGAATATCTTTAACCCGCTTTTGACCATTTACGTGTCATGTCATCCGTAGCACAGGATAATACATGTACATACAAGTTGGATGAAAACGGTAAGTAAATCTACCTTTCTCAATACTATGAATTCCCTTTACATGACTAGAAACGTGTGGATCTTCGCTTAAATTCATTCAAAAACAATACAATACGAACTTCTTTCGATGTCCTAGTTTGGCATGTACCTATTAATTCCTTTTTTCAATGCCTGTGCAAGTTTTGGAAGAATTAGATTAAATATATTTGAGCCCAAGATATTTGAGACCACTCTCTAAACGGATCTTTGACACCTAAATTTTTGTGATGGTTAAAATTTTCGTCAATTTTTCAATTTCATTCAATTTTTTTTTTTCATCCTTTTAACCCTTTGATACCGGTATTATATTTATTTTCAGATTTTGCAGGAAATCCGACCAGTTCTTATGAAAATGCTGTTTTAGTTTTTCTTTTGTCTATTATTGTAAATTCAAATAAAAATTATGTAGATTTCATTTATAACTTTGTTGGTTTTCATTTCAAGATTTTATAAAATTAAACTTTGAATAGAAAATTAAAGCATAAGGCTTTTAAAAATAAAGAATCAAGGGGTTTCTACAAAATAAATTGAAATATTTCCAAAAAATAAAGTTAAATACTTTGGAGCTTTATTTTATTGGATATTGAGTCTATTATTAGAAACAAATGCATGAAACAAAAATCATTTATATATTTACACTCTTTCTTTGAAGGGGTTGATGTCCTCCATTAAAGTACTATATGACACTAATAAAGTAATAGCAAAGAAAAATAATGAACAAGAAAAATTTGATGAGGCCTGGGAGTCATGGAAGAATTTATTTAATTGAATCAGTTTCTCTCTCTCTCTCTCTCTCTCTCTCTCTCTCTCTCATGTTTTTTGTAAAATAATGAAAAATACAGTAAATCATTAAAAAAAAATCATTTATACTTCATAGGTGTAGAGATCCTCCTTAAATTAGACATCATCCATTTGACTGTCATATACATTGTATATGTATTTGTAATGGAGAGAGGTAGCAAAAGGATAAAGAGTAGACAACTAGTCAAAACACTTAAAAGCATGGGCAAAAAAGAGGGGTTTTTTTCGAATTACAGAAAATGTCCTTGGTAAACTCCCTTATAATTTTGATACAGTATTCTATCACATGATCGTAAAATGATACCCCAGTGTCACTAGGGTTTCTTATAATATGTGGAAATGATATTTAAAGAGTTGTGTTCTTCTAAAAGGACTGCAATACGTGGACCATAGGCCTGTTTTTCTAACAGAAATCTAAAAGAAGTTCTCTTTTTTTTGTTGTAATGAAAATGTGTTATAAAAAAGATTTCTTTTATCTCGAAACGTGTAAACTTTTTCATACTAAATCAATGTTATAGTCTAATAACTAAAACTGTAATAATAGATTATAGAAGCACGTCCTGGATATCAATACTTGATCAAGGCATCCACTGTTTACTTTATGTAGCCTTGTCCTTTAAATGGGGTCATCCATCTATCACAAATACCCCTCATGTGAACTGCTTTGCTCGAGTTTAGATTTTAAAATATTGTCCAGTTTCAATCAGTGTTGTTCTCCTTGAAAGAGAAAACAGCTCTTTTGAAGTTTACAGTTTACATATGATGCCAGGCCTATAGGATCGGGGGGGGGGGGGGCATGCACCTTCCCAATAATTTTGCCAGTATATACCTTACTACAGAAAAGGATCCCGGAGAGTAATTTACAGGTGCCAGTATAAACTATACATTAGAGATCTAATGCTCATTTACGGTCGTATTCCCTCAAGAAACGTCAAATGAACTTTTTTCAATGCAACAATATGTCAGGTCCTCAACCCCCTTATTCCGCTCAAACTGTAATTGCGTCTAACGAGCCTAAATGCTCAAAATTGATGCTGGTGAAGATTGTCCTATCTTTTAAAGCCTTATCGTTGAATTAAGTTTTTAATTCAAGCTGCAAAGCAATCTAAATTCTTCCTCCTTTTTAAAATGCTTGTATCATAGAAACCCCGATCTTATAAATTTTACAATCCATATACATAATTATAGAACAATATGTTTTATTTACATACAGGATATATGTATAAAACAATAGATTCGAATGTTTGATACGCTAATGAATTCATAAATACGATGTACAGATTTTAAGCGAGGTTTGCCAAAAATTGGCTATTTCTAATTGGTATAGGGCTAAATGTCCTAAGAAAAGGTTGTCCTACGGGGCGAAATGTCTAGTGTTCTGGCGCATGCCTGGCGTAAGCCCATCGCATCCGTTTAACCTCGCTTATATATTTTCTGCGTGGACCTCAGGGTCAACGCAGTGAAAGCAATCTGAATAAAATCAGATCCTCTGATACGTTCACATAGATCGCTATAAAAGGATTTCCTTGTGTTGCAATGTATATATATATCAAAGGATCAGATTTAAATAATCAGATAAAATGATACACTTGTCTACTATTTGTGGACAGATATTTCATAGAAGCTCACAAGACCGTAGACAATTCAGTGAACATTCACCAATTCTCGCGTATAATTATTTATTGCAGTGGATCTGCTTTCTTATATAAATTTTTGGATCCCAGTTGTAGCCTCCATCTAGGCTCGAAGGTCATTGCATAAGAAATGAATCTTTACTACATACATTTAGGAATGGTTTCTGTACATAAATTTTGATTTCTGGTCCAACTTTTCTGGAGATTTAGAGCCTTATTTCCTATATTCTCAATTATCTCCCTTTGGAAACTCTTGGAGTATTGGATTGAATTCTGTTACTAAAAATAAAGTGGTTGTTTCTGAGGTGTTCATTGACTGAAACCTCCACTAGTGTTCTTTTTTTTTGGGGGGGGGGGGGGTTACATTGAAAAATGGCACCGCTTCTGTTGCTATAAGAGGCGTTGTTAACGTATTTTTGAGCCTTTTTTTTTAACAAAAACAGTTTTGATATCAAAAAATCGATTTCTTGCATGATTTCTTGACATAAAAAAATATTTGATATTAAAAGATAAGTTTAATCAAGAATTCATGTTATTAATATCATAAAACACTAACAAATCGCCCACTGGATGTCCTAGATTGTTCAGGTACCTCGTGGCGCATCCTCAAATATGTTTTCACCCATTAAGTATAAAAACTCAATATTTTTAACATTCACAAAACTTCTGATATCAATAGGTAAGTAATCTAAAATATTCAAAGAATTAAAAAAAAAACTTCAATAAAGCTTTTATGACACTTCTTTTTCTTCCAAAAAATCACTGCCAATGTTTTTAACAATTGAATAAAATACAAAGTTGATTTCTTTTTTGATTACATTAATAATTGCTGCCATGATACATAATTTATAATATAAAGGAGGGGTAAATGCATCATATTTATTAGTCCACCATTTTTACCGATTAATGTATTTCTATTCACTTTTTTCACTTGATAATCATAGAATAAATTGAAATAAATTTTTATGATCTTATATTCAGTAATTCTTTTGGTGGATCTGGAAATGCTGAGAATAATGTATAAATTCTGGAATAACGAGCGTTTTAATGATGGTAATCTTCCTGTTGGAGTTGAATCTCTTTTTGACCCAGGACACAAGTACTTTTATTGCAGGATTTTTCGAGGTCTATAATTAGAAATCATTATATTTTCTAATTTTTGTAAAAATTCCCAAAAGCTTAAAGGAATTACAATTCAATTAGATTTTTAAGTCATCAATCAGATTTTGCTTGATCCTATACCTTGCTTCTTAAGCATACTGCTTGAGATTGTGAAAAATCAGCTAGTATTGAACTACATTTATAGGGGAACTAGTTTTAATCAAACTGAGTGCAATACTTGTAGAAAATGGTACAAAGTTCCGCATGCATTAAAATGTTTTTGCAACATGCAGAAATTGCGTGTGGTTTCACCAATTTAAAGTTGTTTAACCACTGTAGAATTCCGGCCAAAAAAGAGGATGTCATATTATAGACATTTACACAAGTGCTCAGACTGTAAAAGCTTAGATCCTTTTACGTGATACCTCTCAGAGGGTTGACTTTAAAATGAAATCTGTTATATGTTTAGTGGTCAATTTGATAGAAATAGCAGCAAAACATTACTTCTAATTAAAATACTGTGGACTTAAATGTGTCAAGTGTTTTGAAAATTGAAGAAAATCAAGCAGGACTCACATAATATTTCACAAGATTAATCATACGTCACTCCTATTTTCTGTTTTCTTACATCGATAGGAGATCATGCGGTTTACAGTATACGAGTACCCATATAGAAATTGATCCAAACACTAACCCCTCTTACTTTGAAATGACCATATTTCTAAAAATCCGTTAACTGCGTAGTAAAACAACATTTCAATAACAGATGGAAACATGAATAACATTTTTTAGTTGCCCAGTGTGTTGGTCATATTTACGTTTATAGAGAGCATGCGCGACCGAGATATGGCTACCCAATTCGGTCTACTGATAAGAGACTATCGTCTTTGGGCGTTATCAGTTCAATTCATGTGGCTCTGTTTTTGTAAATAGGAACTTACTCATCATGAAACAAGGTAAGGCGAAATTTTCCTTAAATTAACGAAGTAGTTCAGACTTTATATTTTTTCTAACATTTTGACTGTTCCATGATGGTGTGATTTTTTTCTGGTGGGGTGGGGGATGAAAATTTGTTTAGAATTTAATATGTAACCCCTCACCCCTACCCATTGTAAGGCTTCTTTGCCAAACTCTTATCTAGGACCGGTAAATAAGATAAGAAAAATGACTTTATTATGAAATTTTTCATGTGTACCTGATAACGCAGTGAAAATCCAATCTAGTCTATCTTTAAACCAGCAGTATTAAATGATCATAAAATTTCCTCCAATCATCTGTACCTTGGGTTGAATCGCATGTTTCGACATCGAATAAATTATATTTGAGCTGTATGTATAGTTTCACTTTTTCAGTTCATCCACTCGATTAGCAGCATATACTTCTAGCGCTATCTTAGTTAATACTCTTAACTATCACTTTTGCATCTACGTCAGTTTTCATTGACTTTTCTTTATTCCTTTACAAGAAATACGATAAGCCACAGCATATCCATGTAACAAGGTTACTTTCTATATACTTACAATAAGGCTTAATATTGATAAAATTTCTTCACACTGTCTAAAACGAAGAAGAAGGTATAAAAGTAGTCATTTGGAGGGGAGCTGAGTTGTTTATTTATTTCGGTATGTATTGCAATTTTTCAGTTAATCTATCAAAATTTTAAAGTTCCTTACATTCACGCACACTTTCTTTGATATATTGCATAGATAGCATGAGGCATCTTAAAATGGCAAGTAAATATAAGTCCCTAACCGTATACATTATATCTGACTTTTCTTTTAGGGGCCAGCTGACATATTTACATGGGTAAATAAGGTCAGATATGTAATGATCCCATCTTTGATCGTTAATCTTTTATTTCATCGCGCTGGTCACCTTGATAATTGGTCAAGAGGTAATCAGATAAACTTGAAACCAATAAAATACCCATTTATTAAACAATATCGCACAGTCTAACGAACTTACATGTTTAGCCCGATATCAGTTAACTTTGATAATCAATGCCACATGTTCGTATTTGATAAGTTATAGTTTGTTTAAAAATAGTGGGTTTTTTTTCACGTAATACATGTTTTTTTTTAAGGACATACGCAACGTAGTTTGAACTTTATTGTCTTTTTCCCTGGAGTTGAAGAGTTCCAATACTTAAAGGAACTGTGTGCTACATTTTAATGTCTATATATGCTGTTGTATACTTCTTCTAGAACAAATTTGGATAAACAAAATATCTAGAATACATGTTTAGTAATTTTTGTATATTTTTCTTTGAATTATACAAGAATTTTCATCAATTGATATTTTTTCAAAACCCCTGGTAATGCATGCTGATTTTTTGTCTACGAACATCTGATGGCACTATAATCTTAAATTAAGAATATCTTGAAAAATTATCAGTAGGTAAGGTACGTTGCGTATGTCCTTAAAGTATAATTTATCGGGTAATTGTTTCATTGTGTCCGAAGGATATTTAAAATTTGGATGAATTTGACCTAATAAGTATCTTATTCATGAAAAAATATATTACCAAAAATAAAGAAACTTGATTGGATTGGGCAGCAGCCTGCATATCGATACCCGCAACAAGGCATCTGGTCAACCATTCTGGGCTTTAAGGGCTTTCTATAAGTTCCTTTCATGCAGTAAGAGTAATCTGCCCTTTGATTTGAAATTGCTACGGTGTAATAATCAATGCAAGTACTACTAATATTGTCTTAGACCAAGGAAAAGTAACTGAGTATATTATTTTTAAGTGATTTCCTTTTTTAAGTATGCAACAGTGATTTTTATTGTTCATCAATACTCTGTACATACGCTTTTATTTATTATATACAAAAGCGGAAAAGAGCATCTAGTTATATGCTTCATTCATCTCTTTGTATTTCAGCTACCATTCAAGAATTAAAAATATTGTCACAAAGTTTATATAAACACGTTAACTATTCTAATTTGGAAGTTTTTTTTTGTATAAGACTGAAAATACATACATGTATAATATTTGTAACAGAGTTTATAACGTTTGAACAAATAAACCCAGAGTAAATTAATAAAAATTGTCAATAAAACTTAATGGAAATACTACTGTCTCAGCTGTTCCCTTCATCTTATATCAAGCAAAGCCTCATCACACCTACACAGAGCGGATTATGTATAGAAGGGCGATTATTACCTTTATAAGAAGACAATGTAGCAAAGACGAACCTCAATGGAGTCTTCAAACTGAGATATAAAGCATGCTATACTCAGCTTGAGTGCTTGTGACAGATGACTGCATAATGTTGGGTAAAGCTTTATAGCAGGCATCTCGCTCTCACGCATTCTATTTTTCTCCACTCGTGCATAAAAAAAATAGCATATGTGCCCATCTTTATTGTGTAAACAATGACCTCGCAATGTTTTAATAATATATTTTGATATACATTTTACACAAGGACCCTCCTCCTCTTCTTTCAAAGTTTGACGGAAATAATGACAATTTCAGAAACTGACTCCTTTTTTTGTTTCATGTTAACGGCATTTTTTTTTTTTTTTTGAATAATTTAAACCCCAAAAAGTTGGGGAGACCTTTATTCATCAATATAATGCAGTTTGAAATACCTTTCCAGGAAAGACATTAAAAAGAAAATTCTCAACTTTCTGCTTCCATGACAACAGTGAAAAAGTTCGTCCAAACGAATCCATTGTTTTTTAAATCAGTTGACTTGATGCTACCCTCAGCAGAAAACATGACGTGGGAAATACTCTTACTAAGAGTCTATAACAAAGCAAGTCTATAACAAAGCATTGTTTTTTGTTACCTATGAAAGATATCTGTACTTAGACGTTTCTCAGTTACATAAAATGATTTTTTTTCTAACATGGTGCTTTGTTCTAACTGATTTAAGTAATGTTGTCTTAGTGAACTTTTCTTCGGACAGTTTTGCGTCCTGATCAGAGGCGCGAGAGTCCTGTAAGCACAGAATACAAGATTAGATGCACCGAATTAATAGGGGTTTAAATTCAAATTAAGCGTATCTTATTTAGGAAAAAAACACTAAAATGCAATAATTATTCTCAAATAATTTTTTCCTTATTTTACAATGCACACCTAATTTATTTACTAAGTCACAAAAGAATTTTCCGGCATACATAGGGCATGATTTTTTTCCTCACTAGAAATATAAGTATTTTTACTTGTTTTAAATCCACATTCGTACAATATGCTAACCCAAATTTGGTAAAAACCCGCTTCAAAGCTTTGTGTAATTTTTTCTGCAGCGCTTGCAACTTTTTATTCCCTTATAAGCATTCTCTCTCTCTCTCTCTATATATATATATAGAGAGAGAGAGAGAGAGAGAGGGACTTCCTTACATTTTTCTAGATTTAAATGAATGGGTATGTGGATCCATAACTTAAGATTTTTTTTTCAAAATTAATTGTATGTGAACTATTTCAAGGAGGAATTTTTTTTTAATTTTTTGAGCAAATTAAAATTCTTTTATTTTTCACTGACTGTTCATGAATTTCTTCCTGGCATTAAAATTGAAATCTAATACTTGAGGATTTTATTTTCTAAGTATTAAAGACAATTTTTTAAAGATTCTAATTAATGTACGTGGGTTAGGTTTACGATTTGGTTTGAAAAGTAACCCGAGACTACCTTGAATTTATTTACACATATAAACGAACATATTCTTAGAATGATATTATATTATGTTGAATAATGTAGGAGTTTCAAGTTATATCATAAGAAGATTACAAGGAAACATTAAAATTAGCAATAAAGAAAGGATACTGTGTATCACTATCTACAAAATAAATCATCAAATCCTGTATATATTTATACCCCACGCAACAAGTTGCGTGAGGTATAATGTTTTTGACCCGTCCGTCAGTCAGTCTTTCAGTCAATGTGTCAGTCAGTCAGTCAGTCCGTCAGTCCTGTTTTTTTTTTTCTTTTTTTTTGTCAGCGCAACTCCTCATAAACCGCTGCACAGAATTTCGTCAAACTTTGCAGATATTTAGGACACAATGTGTAGATGTGCATATTACCAGGAAATTCAGATTCCTTTATTTTTTCTGGGAATTTCGGCACTTTTCAACTTAGATTTTTGGCCATATCTTGAATATAGAGATGAACAGTTTTTCAGCGCAACTCCTCATAAATCGCTGCATAGAATTTCGTCAAACTTTGCAGATATTTCAATTCAATTCAATTCAGTTCATTGACATCACCATGTTGGCATACAGTCAAAATAAGAAATCAAATGACAGATAACAGAAAAAAAAAGAGAAGGATGTTATAACATAATTGCATGCAGTTCAATTTTACACAGTTCCTTATAGACCTTGGCATTGTTTCTTCTGCATAAAGCATTTATCTAAGTAGATAAATAAACGTTTTGTAGTATTATATTCACATGGGTTAACAATTTCTTTAATGGGATCAGTACCACAGTATAATTTACCATCAAAAATATCACAATATTGAAATCGAAGATTGTCATTCACAGGACAGTAAAGTACAAAATGGTTTTCATTCTCAACCAATAATTTACAAGCATAGCATAAACGTTTTTCCTTAGGGATTATTGGTTTACAGTATCTACCTGTTTCAATGAATAGTGAATGTGCACTGATTCTTAATTTTGTTAGCTGTGATCTTTCATGTTTTTTTAAGGGAAACTTTAAGTAATCCAGCTATTTATAATCAGTGCAGTTTAAGATTTTACTATAAAAATAAAGTTTTCCTGAGTTAGAAGATGGGATTTTGCTCAATTGTTCAAAGGTCATATCAACAAAAGTTTTATTTAACTTAAACCTCAAATCCTAATGGGAAATATTTAAAGAAGTCAAGTTTAGTTTTTGTTGAAGATTGAAAATCTTGCTTTGCCATGAAGTATAACCCTTTTTCAGAGCTAATTCTTTGTCCTTTTTGAAAGCTGATACTAAAAGTGCATTATTATATGTGGTATTTGATTCCATATTTAGTACACAGTGTGTAGATGTGCATATTACCAGGAAATTCCGGTTCCATTATTTTCTGGGAATTTCGGCTCTTTTCAACTTAGATTTTTGGCTATATCTTGAATATAGAGATGAACAGTTTGTTAGTGCAACTCTTCTTCAACTGCTGCACAGAATTTGGTTAAACTTTGCAGATATTTAGTACACAGTGTGGAAATGTGCATTTCACCAGGAAATTCCGATTCCATTATTTTTGCCTTAAGAGTTTTGCCTATTATTGAAGAAACTTTCCAGCTAGGTCATAAGGAAATCCACTGGAATCAGCTTTTGTAATGAAATTTTATGTGAATATTTTATGACCTTAAAAGACCCCTATTGATTTTGAGATCAAAATATTAATGATTTAACACACACACACAAAATCTTGGATAGTTCTCACCCCCCCCCTCAAATTGGTGCTTTGCCTTAAATAATTTCATAAGTACAGAATATAAACAAATTCATTTGACTACATCATAATCTTGTTTCCATCAATTATTTAAATGTGTAAATTGTCATGTGTTGGACATGGACTTGCACTCATTACCAAATCGAAATCACTGAGGAATTTAAATAACAGTTTGTCAGCATAACTCATGCACTGAATTTCCTGAAACTTTGTATGTATTTCAGACATAATGTATAGATTTGTATATTACCAAGAAATTTTGATTCCATTATTTAAGTATCTAGAAACTTTAGCCCAATTAAGTTTGTAACATACAAAGATTTAAATGTCCTTATATGCAAGAAGTTTTGATGTGATGATTTTTTGCAAGTAATGCCCCTTTTTGAATTATACTGTGTATTTAAAATGCACTGTGCCATTCATTACGTGTTGCATTGTCGACTTTTGGGGGAGGGTGGGGTATGTGAGCTTGCTCACTTTTTCTTTCATCATATAATGTTTACATAGCATCTCCACAAAATGATATGTCGACATCATAATATGTCTATATCATTATATTATGTCTAGAGTTTATTGTGTCTACGTCATTATGTCATGTCTACATAATCATATCATGTCTACATACATGTAATCATATCATGTTTACATCATCACATCATGTCTGTATCATCATATCATGTCTATATCATCATTTACATATACATCATCATATCATGTATATATCTTCATGTCTTTATTATTATATCAAGTCTATATCATTATATTAATTATTTGTAAATTATCATATTATGTCTATATCATCATACCATGTGTACATCATTATATCACGTCAAAATTATCAAATCAAATCTTAACCAATAGTTTTAAATGTCAATCTAATTAAAGAGGTATGTGCTTCATATATTTACATCAAGATCCAGTTTTGTTTGTTATCAGAAATATGAGGGTAATCGGTGCTGGATTTAAAGTGTGTACATTCTGCGTGTGTCCACCAAAATTTTCCCATTTGGTTTTGGCTTAAGTTTTAATTTGACTCAAAAATAATGCTTTGTGAACCAGTTTTAACCTAAACAGAGATATAAAATCCATCAAAACTTTTGATTATATTTATTTATTCATTGTTTTTTGTGTACATCACATTTATTTATTTATTCTTTCATAATATTACATTTAGAGTTTCTGGTGTATATATTTTATTTATTTATTTATTTTCTTTCGTATACATAATATTACAAATTCTTGCCCCCCCCCCCCTCATTATTACATTATCACCTTCAATAAATCGATAAACTTAGACACCTTAACATTTTCATACATTACAAGAGTATTTTTTTTTCAAATCTCGTAACAGTATATATAGAAGCACTGACTAAATAGTTGAGTCTGAATTACTGATTGCACCGGATGTTCTCAATTCCCTATTAAGCACACGTTTTTGCTCCAAAGGTCTTTCTTCCTTTTACACGGGGAAGTTTACATCATCATGATGGGTTGACTTTTAAACCTTGATATAGGAACAAGATCCTCACACATCTGTTGACACTGTCAGCTCTGTAAGGTTCCTCTGATTTATAATGAATGCGACAATAAACTTATACCGAGCCGTGTGTTAAGCTTTCGGTCTCCAGGAGATAGCTTATAATTCATATCAGAATCTCAGTGACAATTTTATATTCTACAGGTCTAGCTGTATTTAAACAATGAAGAAGGCCTTGCTGGTGTTAGCCATTAGTTTCCTATTGATTGTTATTGCCGTTTTTCACATCAGCCAGAATCACCAGCTCAAGAAAACCGTGTTCCAGTCCTCCCCGATTAAAGCCATCAGACATTACCTCAAGCTTGTGGTAGATTTCCTTTATTTTTTATGAAAAATATTTGAATTAACAACCTTTTTTATTTTTTTAAGAAAAATATTATGAATTAACAACCTTTTGATATAGTCATTGTAGAACTGTATAAGTAAACAGAATTTTATAATTTTATGTATCATTATTATAAAATATTACTTTTATTTAATGTCAGTGATTTATATATTGTCCTCTTTCCCACTCTCCCTTCGTACTAAGACATCTACTAATTTAGCCCCAAACTTATGGTTCATTGAATATCATTGTAAAAGACAAGGGCATAAAAAATAAGCAAGACATTTATGGATGATAGTACGTAGTAGCACGTTTTTTTTTTTTTTTGTTTGTTTTTTTTTTTTGTTTTTTTTTTTTTTTTTTTTGTTTTTTTGTTTTTGTTTTTTGTTTTGTTTTAATTGTTTTTGTTTTTTGTTTTTTTGGGAGAATTTTCTGTTTAAGGATTTTCAATAACCATTCTAATTACATATAGGGATCAATCCTAGGCTGCATAAGTGTTCACAATTTACAATCAATATTTAATAAAATATTTAAGAATAAAGAAGACTTTCCTTAAGTAAAAAAAAAAGTACATATTATTCAATCATTAACAATTATTGAAAAACCAGCATTTCGCCTCGAAATCAAATAAGGTAGAGACTCGTTACTTATTTCATGATGCAAACACTCAAAAGAGAACTAAACTTGTTATCTGGAAGTCATTTAATGCAATATGAATCTCTGATCTTTTGACCTCAAAACCATTATGGGTCTTCTTCTAGCTATAAGGAGTTACATTGTATAACAGTTTCATTGCAAATTCTAAAGGACTTAGTCATCCGGAAACGAAATGTTACAGACAGGCAGACGGACAGATAGACCCAAAATTATTACCCTACGCTTTCAGTGAATACCTAGGTAAACAAGCTTTCTGAGAGTATTGCACATGCAATACTACTCTCTTACCATTTACGTTAAAATTTAAAAAGGCCATAATTCCAATCTGGTTCACCTTAAGGACAGACGATACGTTCCTAAATAATATATAAAGAGGGTGTTGCAGTTCTTTTGTTATTTTCCCTAAAGTTGTAGCAGTTTAAAAGAAAAAAATTAATTAACAGAAAACGGTCTTCAACTTTTTAAAATACAACGGTATATATAGCACAATGTAGAGCAATATTTAGAAACTGCATATCGACCTCCAATTTGCCATTAAATGAAGTGTAAATTAGTCACATAGCAAAATAAGTCAAGTTTTCTGTTTTTCAAATAGGGAATCTCCATTGTTCTGAAAAATTGCCTCCTTGAAAGAGAATGAATTTGATATACAAATAAAGAGACGGGGTTTTTCTTCAAAACTGCCATTTCCGATTTTTGTTTCAAACAGGCATTTTTTTGAAAATCACAAAAATCGAGTAAAAATTATTATCCATCCGAACTGCAAAATGTGCACATAAAATAGCAGAAGATAGTTCAGTGTCGGAGATGGCCTAGTGGTAAACGTGTGGTCTCTATTCAAAGGTTCTTTTACCTGAGAATGGGTTCGAATCCTGGAATGGCTGGTATATATACTGGTATACATATTTTTTTTTATATAATGGAAGTACAATGTAACATCTCTCTTGAGAAAGAAAGAGAATGTCAGAATTGGTAATATTAATTAAATAATGTGTAATATTTTAAATACATGCAGAATTAAATTGTTTTCCTTGATATTGTGATCTAAAACTAATAAGACATATATTTAATGTTATTATTTAGTGGCGATGTCTTAAAAAATAAAGTACTATCATCTTAAATAATTCAATTTTTTCATACACATTTCGTTACATCATTGTTCTTGAATTAGTGGCTCAGATTTGACTTGACACAACTTAACTGAAATGACTCAATGGAATTTCTTGGATATTGCATCAACAGCGTGATTATATATATATATTGAACAGCTGTGAAATGTTTTGTTATAACAAGCTGGACATACCCGCCGTATAAATAGTCATCTACATAGCATTATCAGTGGCGGATTTAAGGGGGGCGCATCCGGCGAGCCCCCCCCCCTAAAACTGTCAAAGTTTAATTTTTCGTTTAATTAATTTTTTTCATTAATCGTAGTTTCGTCGATAAAATGTAAAAATGTCTACTCGGCAGACCTTTTTTACCCTACAAAATCTCTAGAATCCAGGAACTCCCGGGGGCTTCGCCCCCTGAGCCCACTGGGGGCCTCAAGGCGGCCCCCAGCCCCCCTCTCTACTTTTTGCGCCCCCCGTTACTTCAATTCCTGGATCCGCCCCTGATTATCTATATTTAGAGATAACTCTTTATGCGTCGTGGGTATTAAATGTCCTTCTCGATTTAGGGAATTATCACGAGTTTCTGCAACACCCTCTTTTTCCCAAGATTTTATCATTGAAGTATTGCTACTTTAACATGTTTACTCACAAAAATTGAGGTACCTTACCAGGCATTTGTGCAAGATACCAAATGATAATGTTTCCTATATAATCCTTCCGGGAATAAATTGTCAATATCAAAACTTTCAGCGTTTTTTTAAAGACACTTAGAAACCAGTTTAGAAATCATAAGGTAATTATACTCGTAAATTACACATATTTTTTATACATTACAAAGATATACAAAACAAAGAGGGTGTTGCAGTTCTTTTGTTATTTTCCCTAAAGCTGTAGCAGTTTAAAAGAAAATTTTCAAGTAACAGAAAATGGTCTTAATTTTTAGGTCACCTGAGTCACTCAGGTGACCTATTGCTATCCGTTTTCGTCCGTCGGCGTGCGTCGTGCGTTGTGCGTTAACATTTGAACATTTTCAGCTTCTTCTCTGAAACCGCTCAACCAATTTCAACCAAATTTGGCATATAACATCTATGGGTGAAGGGGGACAAAATTTGTGAATTTCATGGTCCCTGCCCCCCTGGGGCCTGAGGGGTGGGGCAAAAACCACTAAAATTAATGCAATCTTTAAAAATCTTCTTCTTTACTCCTGGACATCAAGCAGTCAAACTGTTAGCATGATTGTAATAAGCATTGAGCCCTCTACCAAAATTGTGAAATTCATGGCCCCAGGGTAAGGGGTTCTGGGGCTAGGGTGGGGCTATATAGATCATATAGTAAAAGTGCATTATTTCTTCAAAAATCTTCTTCTCTGCTCCTGGGTATAAAATAAACTAAGTACACAGTTATGATAAGCAAGAATGCCCCTTCCAAAATTGTGAATTTCATGGCCCCTGGGTCAGGGGTTCTGGTGAAAGGGGGGGGGGGCTCTATTGATTATATAGTGAAAATGCATTATTTCTTTGAAAATCTTCTTCTCTGCTTATGGGTATGAAATAAACTAACTAAGTACATAGTTATGATGAGCAAGAGTGCCTCTTCAGAAATTTTGAATTTCATTGCCCCTGGGTCAGGGGTTTTGGTGAAGGGGGGGGTTATTGATTATATAGTGAAAATGCATTATTTCTTTGAATATCTTCTTCTCTGCTTATGGGTATTAAAGAAATTAACTAAAAACATAGTTATGATGAGCAAGAGTGCCTCTTCAGAAATTGTGAATTTCATGGCCCCTGAATCAGGGGTTCTGCTGTTAGGGTGGGGCTCTATTGATTATATAGTGAAAATGCATTAATTCATTGAAAATATTCTTCTCTGCTCCTGGATATTAAATAAACTAACTAAGTACATAGTTAGGATGAGCAAGAGTGCCTCTTCCAAAATTGTGAATTTCATGGCCCCTGGGTCAGGGGTTCTGGTGTTAGGGCGGGACTCTATTGATTATATAGTGAAAATGCATTAATCCTTTGAAAATCTTCTTCTCTGCTCCTGGGTATTAAGTTCAGGAACTAAGTACATAGTTATGATGAGCAAGAGTGCCTCTTTCAAAATTGTGAATTTCATGGCCCCTGGGTCAGGGGTTCTGGTGTTAGGGTGGGGCTCTATTGATTATATAGTGAAAATGCATTAATTCTTTGAAAATCTTCTTCTCTACTCCTGGGTATTATTGAAACACATTAAATACATAGTTATGATAATCAAGGATGCCTCTTTCAAAATTGTGAAATTCGTGGCCCCTGGATCAGGGGTTCTGGTGTTAGGGCGGGGCTCTATTGATTATGAAGTGAAAATGTTTTAATTCTTTAAAAATCTTTTTCTCAGCACCTGGGTATTATTTAAACAAACTAAGTACATTGTTATGATAAGCAAGGATGCCTCTTCCAAAATTGTGAAATTCATGGCCCCGGGGACAGGAGTTTTGGTGCTAGGGCGGGGCTATATAGATCCTATAGTGAAGGTGAATTATTTCTTTGAAAATCTTCTTCTCTACCCCTGGGTATTGCTTAAACAGACTAAAGTACATTGTTATGATACACAAGGATGCCTCTTCCAAAATTGTGAATTTTATGACCCCGGGTTTAAGGGTTCTGGTGAGGGGGAAGGGGGGGGGCTTCTATTGATTATAAAGTGAAAAAGCAAAATTTCTTTGAAAATATTCTTTTCTTCTTCTGGTTAAAAAAGCAAAGAAGCTAAGTGTATAGTTATGATGAGCAAGTGTGCTTCTTCCAGAGTAGTGAATTTCATGACCCCTGGGTCAGATGTGCTGGTGTGAGGGTGGGGCTCTTGATAATTTAGTGAAAATGCATTAATTCTATTAAATAATCCTGTTTGCTCCTTAGTGTTAAGCAGATAAACAAAGTGATGATGAGCAAACATATGGTCCCAGGGTCAGAAGCTCTGGTGTTTTGGGGGTGGGGGGTTGGGGCTCTATTGAAAATATAGTGAATCTGTAGTAAAAATGCATTATTTATTTAAAAATCTTCTCCGCACCTGGGCATATCTGAGGCAAACAGAGTAAAAGTTTTTATAAGGAAGGGAATTTTTACCAGATTTTTGAACATCTGGACCATTTGGTCAAGTGTTCTGGTCCTGGCCAGGGCTCTATTAGTTTGTATTCTACTGAGAGGAGTTATTCCCCTTTGCCATTTACTTTTGATAATTTATCACTGTAAATAATGTACTTGAAAGGTAAATAGAACAAGAGAATTATGCAAAAACTTTTATTGTATAATACAAAAAGTACTTTCATAGTTTTAATGATCAGATAGACTTGTAAGTAGTAGATAAATAAAAATGAGACAAAAATTACTTGTCTTATTAAATATTCATCAAAGACCAAGAGATGCCAATGTAAGAGATTTCAACAAAGGATTAAAATAGTACAGAAGCATTGATAATTTGTTAATATACTGTATAGTGATAGTGATAAAATGGGGAACAGATTAGAACCTAATTTATGAACTGTTAATGAATATTAAGACCAATTATTTTGTTGATCATGATCACCCTATTTTTCTTGCTTTTGGGCAACAAAGCTTCACCTTTCAGTTCATTTAATACTCTATGCATCCTTGAAATTGTTGTATCATACTCAGGTGACCGTTAAGGCCCTTGGGCCTCTTGTTTTTCAGATACAACAGTATATACAGCACAATGTAGAACAATATTTGCAAAATGCATATCGACTACCAATTTGCCATTAAAAGAAGTGTAAATTAGTCACATAGCAAAAAAAGTCAAGTTTTCTGTTTTTCAAATAGGGAATCCCCATTGTTCTGAAAAACTGCCTCCTTGAAACAGAATGAATTTGATATACGCATAAAGAGACAGGAATTTTCTTCAAAACTGCCATTTCCATTTTTGTTTCAAAGAGGCATATTTTTGAAAATCACAAAAATCGAAGAAAAATTATTATCCACCCGAAATGAAAAGCGTGTACATAAAATAGCACACTATACTTCAGTGTCGGAGCTGGTCTAGTGGTAAAGCGTGTGGCCTCTATGCGAAGATTCTTTTTTTTTTTTTTTACCTGAGAATGGGTTCGAATCCTGGAATGGCTGGTATACACATTTTTTTTCTTATACACGATAATGGAAGTACAATGTAACAACTCTCTTGAGAGAGAAAGAGAGAGGGAGAGAATGTCAGAAAGTTAATGGGTAATATTTTAAATAAATGCAGAATTAAAATGTTTTCTTTGATATTGTGTCTAAAACTAATAAGACATACATTTAATGTTATTATTTAGTGGCAATGTCTTAAAAAATAAAGTACTATCATTTAAAATAATTTAATTTATTCATATGCATTTCGTTTCATTATTGTTCTATTAATTAGTGGCTCAGATTTGACTTGAAACAACTAAATTGAAATGACTCAATGGAATTTTTTGAATATTGGCTGCATCAGTAGCGTAATTATTGGACACATTTTTATATATTGAAAAAATATTAACGCACGCTTTTTACAGTACATCTTTCAAATTGATGTGCGAGTCTAATTTAGGAAAAAATATGCATGATATTAACATAAAATGTGAAATGTTTTGTTATAACAAGCTGGACATACCCGCTGTAGAAATAAAGCCATCTACGTAGCATTATCTATATTTAGAGATAACTCTTCATGCGTCGTGAGTATTTAAATGACCTTCTCGATTTAGGGAATAATCACGAGTTTCTGCAACACCCTCTTTCTGAGGAACGTATCTTCTGACCTTGAAAATTTAAAAGGGTCTTGAGAGGGGTCCGGTTTTAAAAAGTTCTCTGAAGCTTTTATGAATTTTGACCATGAAATATCATAAATGTCAAGAATGGGAATCAAAAACATAATTCCACGGGTTTCACTATAGTTAATTAAAGTATCAAAGTTTTTACTATAGTAAATCAAAATTCCAAAGTTTTCACTATAGTAAATCAAAGTTCCAAAGTTTTTACTTTGATACTTTAGTTAACTATAGTAAATTATAGTGAACTTTAGTTCACTTATGTTTTTCTAGGGGGGAGACTAAAACAACAGATGTGATCCTAAGGCACAACTGCGTCACTTGTCATAATCCTAGTAAACAATATTAAAATCAATGTAAGATTACATGTAGGAGATGAAGAAAAAAATCAAATGATTCATAACATCTAGATAAAATCTACATTTCTTAACTTGTCAAATGACCATATGCTCAATGAAATACACGCCAGATAAAAACTATGCATTTGTTTATATCTCCTAAGGAGAAAATTTAATTTTGAGAATGGGGTTTATAGAAGTAAAAATCTTTAAAATGAAAATCCATATGCATGTGAACAAAAATTTTATTTTGCAGTCATATAGCAACCATTCTCTATATTTACACTTTATTTTGTAGCAGAGCGTAATCTCTTGAGTAAATATTTAAAATGATGCATGTTTGCTAACATCAAGCCGTGATCTGATTGACTCTTTATATACCTATTTGACTTTTAAATCGGACGCATTTATATTTGCAATTCTTCAAAAGAGTTTGACTCTTAAGTGGACATAAGAAATCAGAACGAGTTAAGGGTGATGATTGGTCGTGGCCATTTTTAGATTAGTTAAAAGACTTATTGCATGTTTCTAAATTTTTTGAAATTAAAAGCGTAATACCATTTGATTTGTCATCTTATCACATGTATTAACTTATTTGATTCACAAATTTAATATTATATAACTTTGTCATTCTTCGATTTTACCATAATATTAATTTATGCAAATATGCCTTCATATGTTTGTAAAGGATGCCGGTCTTGAAAAATAATTTTCCGATCACGAAACATTGCCGTAATCAGATCTACAGATTCTAAATGTTTGGAATAAAAAAACGAAAATATCTCAAGATTCTTATACTTTAGAACTACTTAATGTTTCTATAGTAATTAAAAACCACGTTAGGAATTAATTTTTTCAGCATTTTTCATAATTAAGCTGCATTTGTCGTTGATAACTCCGTAAATAGTGTGCAACTTCTCATCTCTCTATCACTGAATTTTCGCGTATGACGTCAGAGCAATATTTCGCCGAAATCCGACTGAAATATGCATATTGCCGTATTTGAATTTCAACTCTCAATATCTCTAAAAATACGCTTTCAACGTGGTTTATTGTATTAAGAATTTCAATAAACAAGGTTGTAGATGATATTTTTCATAAAATTAAGATTTTTGAAAAATCATGCGATGGAAAAGAAGAGCTCTGTGAAGCGTTATAGGAAATAGCATTAATTTCATTTCATTAGGTGAATCTGTTTGGTAATTGAGTTAACCACCCACCCACCCTCATTAACCCATCGATTTCTATAGTTAGTTATTCTATAGTTAGTTATTCATGCCAAGTCCCCTACATGGTAATGAGATGAAAGTAGAAACTGTGTTTAAATAATAATTTGAAAACGTGATTAAAATCAATTCAAAATTTAATACATTTTTGACTATCGATATGTTAGGATCTTTATTCGAGGAGATTGTAACCAGAGAATTTGAAAAGTTCAACAACTTCCTGGTCATTAACTATAACTAGTTATAAGTCATGCTCGTGATTCGAGTATCATGATGTAAACTTTGAATTTATATTACTGGGTGGAGGTTAATTAAAAAATGTACAACATGATATACAGATATGTCAAGAAAGTTTTGAAACTTACCTAAACTGTTTTTGCAAATGATATGATACACATCTTCAGCTGGGTTCTTCAGGTTGTGATTGAATTGCTTACTAGTAAAACGAGAATTCATTTAAGTTTCCTAGTGTTCTTTAATCTAATAGGGCAGCAATTTTCGGAAGTTTGTTAAGATCTACTTTTGTATTCAGCAATTCAAACCAATAATTCCTCTTTTTTTATTTTGAATCGATCGATGATTTCACATGAAGCATTGAAATAGAAGTTTATCTAAAGCTTTATATACACGCAGAAGATTCATATGATGAATATTCTTCGTAATTATTTTCAGAATGAAACAGAAGAATTTTTTGACTCGATAAAAGATACAAACAGGAGCCTCACAGTAGTTACCGCGTTTTTTAATATTGGAAGTTTTCCTAAAGGAAATCTAGGTACGATTCGGAAATCTAATGACTATAATGTTTGGATGAGAACATTTCAGTACATGCTCAATCCTGTAGTGTTCTACACAGACAATAAAACATATGCAGACTTCTTCGTGCAACTCAGGAAAAACGCCTCTTTACATACAGAAGTAATTCATATAAATCGGTCAGAGTTATGGGCTTTTAAAATAATTCCAAAAATCCGGAAAATATATTCAACCCCTGGATACCCACGCCATTATCCAAACACGTATATCCCGGAATATACAAGTCTGACCCACTCTAAACAACAGGTTTTGGCTGATTCTGTGACTAGACATCCGTTTGATACAGACTTTTACTGTTGGCTGGATGCTGGATATTTTAGGGACAATGTTTATCGTGAAAGAAAATATTGGATGGAAGTTCCAGACGATTTTAATAAATCTCGAATCGGAGTGACTCGTGTGTTCTATTCGGATTTGAAACGGACGAGTGCAAGAACTATAATTCTAGGAAATATGAATTGGATCGGCGGAGGACTTTTCTTAGGAACACCAGATGTTATTCTAAAGTTCCATGATCAATATAAAAAGGCTGTGATGCGCTATCTAAAACAAGGATTAATGAACGTAGAACAACATATATTATATGCAATGTATACACAACAAGAGAGGAAAAAGTACCCAATAGAAGTAGAAGTGCAATTATATATACCGGGGCAGAGACGCGTCATTAATGGGAACCCGTGGTTTTATTTAGGTTACCTGATGTATAGAGAAGAACCCAAACAAACATAACATGTCAAAAATGATATTAAATGTCTTTCAATATTAAATTGTGTTTCGCTTCATTTAGTATTAGGAAAATACAAATTGAATGTATTAAGTAGACATGATTTATAGACAGTTTTATCTTTGAACTGAAAAAATTGGCAACTTCGAGTTAATAAGTAACTTAGTTGGGAGAACGTTTCCTAAAAAAAAAAAAAAAAAAAAAAAAAAAAAAACTCATTCAAACCTAATGAAAGTTTCTTGAACACCCCTGTCCATTATATTGTGCTCACTTGGGGTTTCAGCCTTAGATTGGACAGATAAAGAATACACCATATAGTGAATAACTGTTTTGGGGGTCAAAACGATGATTTAGTCACATGTATCGAGCCCGAAGGGGGTATTGATCATCAAAACGTATATACAGTACCATGTAATACAATTCATAGCAAAAGTATATATATATATATATATATATATATATATATATATATATATATATATATATATATATATATATATATATATATATATATAAATAAACAAATATTGGAAGCAAATGGAAGTGTGTTTACTTTTTGCTCATTGGCAAGCATTGCATGGTCAACAGCGTTTTCTCTGGCAGACAAACATAATGATAATGTTGATTTTCAAAGAAATGGGTTATTATTTTTTTTAACCCAAAGCAAGAAATTATTCCTAGTATCAGGCCATGCTGATAATAAAGACCTGTTGAGATCGGTGATACATATACCTTGCGTCGTGTATGACATCAGTAAGTAAATACTTCACGTCGACGACTGGCTATTTTTGTTTTATTTGTGGAACACTTGGGGTCTCTTGTCTGTGTTGTGTCGAGACTGGACTTGAAATGAGATAAAAACAAACAGTATTAAGCCATTATCTAGTTTTATCTCTTCCATCATTTATAATCTTTATATTAACTTTATAAAACAACAGTATGCATCGGCTTCGGCAAGTCAATATTTATCAAACAGATTTATTGTTCTTGATTATACATATTAAAATCAGGAATAAATGACTTTTATAGGTAGTCAGATGTGTTTCATTATATTGAATTATTTACTTTTTTCATATTTACATCAGGATTATTTTTATTTAACGTTCGGTTTACGGTGCTCTATGTTCTAAATTTTCTCTTATCGGTGATGTTTTAACTGTTTATAACAACTGTCATGTAATATGGAGATAAAGGTTCCACGGAGCACTAATTTGATATTAAATAAGATACACCATTCACGATACTTTTTTTTTCTTATTTCATAACATGCTTTTATTCCCAAAGGTTCTTAACATGCATGTAATTCAAAATTTTAAAAAAATCGCTTTATTACATTTTCAACAGTGAAATACTGTGATTTATTTATTGAATTTAAATGATATTCTCTCACAGTGTAAAAGGATACCAAAGTGATACATGTATTCTGTTACAGTGTGAAAGTAAGTAAAAATAAATTTCTGACCTGTAATAAGATAGAGATAGTAACTAAACCATCTTGATAAAGACTAAAACTGCCCATTTTTCCCCAAATATGTTGCTAAACAGGTTTCAATCTCAGAACTTTTGTGACTTCTCAACTGCTCAACTATGACTTCACACCCTATGACCGACAGGGACAAAGGAAAATCAAGGAAAATGTAATTACAATACTACAATTCCAACTACAAAACATTGAATATCCTCTATTTATAGCCAATTCTGGACTAATTTACTGAAAGAAATTACAGTATTTTGTTAAGTTTTGTGGGATATAGATAAAGATCAGTTATTACATGTACAAGACAGGCATTGAAAGCTTTGACAGTATCCTTCAAAACATGTTATTTAAAACTCTTAAATCTAAAAGTTTGTTTGTTTGTTTGTTTATTGTTGTTTAACGTCCCTCTCGGGAATTTTTCACTCATATGGAGACGCCACCACTTGCCGGTGGAGAGCTGCAAATTTTAACCTATACTCGGCACTGAAGGCCATTGAGCAGTGGGGGATCTTTATCGTGCCAGCACCTACTGTGACACGGGATCTCGACTTATACGGTCTCATCCGAAGGACCGGTCTCCACGTCCCACAGTGGGATTCGAACCCGCGACGTAAGGATCAACTCCTTCTCTGCGACTCTAGAGCAAACGCTCTAATCACTGCACCACGCGGGCGACTACCTTAAACAAGATTAAAAAAAACAATACAAACTTAGAACAGCTTTTTTCTGTATTTTTCAGGGAAACAAGACTTAGTATTCCGTAGTCAAAAAAGCATGCAAATAATAAAAATTATTAGTATTTCAAATGTTGTCGAAATATGACAGTGCATTAGGTGGTATTTGCAACAAATGTCATAAAAATGACTATAGCATTTCCGAAATGCTGTAAAATAGATTGTTGAAAGCTCTGAACCACCATATGAAGGTGATACTGAAATATTACTTAATATAAATACAAGGAAGTAGACGGTGGGAAAGCTGGTCATCCCCTTTCCCATATCTGTAGTTTTAAGTTAGTTGTTAGTTTGTCATCAAAGATTGCTTAAGACCTAAGGGTATTCCTGCAAGTTCAGGTTACTGACAGAAAGTATACAATTTTTGTCCGCTGTATATCTTCTTGGTGGAGAAACATTGAAAGTGCATACTTTTAGATTCCTTATGACCTGTACATGTAAGTGTGTAACGACTTAGACCCAAGGCCATCTGATCAAGATCACTTATAGAAAAATGATTTATAACTTTCCTGACCACCATCTTGTAATGTAGAACATTAGTCTCATACTTATAACAAATATTTCTTATGTTTTGACTATGACCCAAGTCTTTTAAACAAGTTCAAGATCACTGGCTACATGTAAAAAGTGTTTCTTTTGTGTCAGGTATTCTGTCAATAACTATCCAATGAAGTCTAATTGGAAATTGATACTTATTCCAAAGGTTGTTTACATCCTAAGAGTGTATCAGGACTTTACCCTAAGTCATTCCGGTAAGTTTAAGGTCACTGGCAGAAAAAACATAACATATGAATCTGGTCTACAACTTCTTAATGGACAAACATTAGAAGTTTATACTTCATACAGAGATTGCTTATGACCTGAAGGTGTGTCACACAAGGTCATTTGATCAAGATCACATGTAAAAAAATTAATTCCTTTCCTGACCATATCTTGTAATGGAGAACATTTTGAAAGCTTATACTTATCACAAATATTTACATATGATCTTAGAGTATGTATTGATTATGACCAAAGACATTTCAGCAAATTGAAAATCACTGGCAAAACAAAGTGTTTTATATTGTGTCCTGTCAATTACTCTCTAATGGAGACAGATTGATAGTTGATAATGACACAAGGCGGGTCATGCTAAGGACATATTTTCAAGTTCTAGGTCACTGAGAGAGAAAGTGATAAATTCCCGCAACTTTATAACATGGATGAACATTGGAAGTTCTTATTCAAATATTACTTATGTGTTGAAGGTGTTCAAGGTCACTGGCAGAAAAATAAAATTTTTGTTGAAGTTGAAACTTTAAAAAGTAAACATCTGTGAGCTAAATATACTAGTATGTCATAACCTTTACTAAAGGACATTGTGGCAAGGTCACTGGCGGGTAAAAATGAAAAATACATGTCAGGCCCATAATTTTCTTATGGAGAAACATTGGATGCCAATATTTCACTGAAAGATTACTAATGATCAGAGGATGTCATTTTTTTTTTAACCAAGGTATTTTGGCAAGTTCAAGGTCATATTTACAAAATTTGGGTACTTTAACAAAATTACATGCGTTTTGTGAGCTCCCCTACAGTACCTCTAGTTAGAGTTTGTTACCATATGAATTCATGTCGTCTTTAAGGGCTCAATATACAGGCTTTTAATTCATTTATTTTCAAATTGCAATTAAACAGTACAACAAAAGTGAAGTTATTGGAGTTGAACCTCAATTTTTTTAAAAAAATAAAAACAATATTAAAAGCAAAGTTGAAACAAGTCTCCGATGAAACTGTAGCTTTACTAATTTTTACCTATAATAAAGAAAGAGACATGCATTACAGGACACTTTTTAAAAGTTTTACATTTATAGATTTATGTATTCTGGTGTTTTCAAACATGTACCAAGTTTTGTTCAAATAAAATCAAAACTTCAGGAGAAGCATTTTGAAATATTTTTTTTTACATAATCTATTTCGAGAAGCTAAAGTATCCATAAATATGCCACCGATTAGTAGAATTATGAGCTTTGGTTAAGGACCCTCTATACACTAGAGGAAAATATTTTTTGGACATTGAGAAAATTATCGTGTGTAAAGGTGTAAGTATTGAGCTTATCTATCACATTTTCAGCATAGGGTGCCTTGCATTTACCCCCAGGAAAAATGTTCAAAGACAATGAAGTACTGATGAACATAAATCACTGTTGTTTACTTAAACGGACAAAATACCTGCAAATGAAGTCACTGTGTTCTATCTATTCATCTTGGCCTATTGATTGATTTGATCACAAATTAAGTAATAAACTGTACATTTCAATTTATTTCCATTCTTGATCAAAGCGCAGATCACTCTATCTTCACAAATACCACAAAATCAGAACTCTCTAGTGTTCAGTGTATAGAGAGCTCTCAAGTCTCTTAGTGTCGTGTTTAAAAGTGGGTGAGCTAGCCAGAGACAAAAAAAACCCTGATCCCTCAAAATTATTTACGAAATCCTATTTGTATCAAGTAAAATAAATAATAACATCCCATATACATTTGTATAATTATCTCGTAATTACAAGAAAAGACGATCTCGTTATTACGAGAAAAGATATCGTGAGAAAAGAATTCAAAATTATGGGATAATTTCCTCCTAATTACAATGTACGAAATAATTTCCTCAGTTTTTCCAGAAAAAGATTAAGCTTTAAATTAAATTCTAAATGTTTCCGGAGAGTACGGAACTTCTACATTCGGGGTGGCGGTCATGCGTGACATCAGGTGGCGACCCCGACGTTGATAAAAGACCATCAAGGTGAGTAGTAAACAT